AGTAGTAGTAGTAGTAGTAGTAGTAGTAGTAGTAGTAGTAGTAGTAGTAGTAGTAGTAGTAGTAGTAGTAGTAGTAGTAGTAGTAGTAGTAGTAGCAATAATAGCAGTACAACAGGATTGACCCATTGCGCATACACCTTCTCTCTGGCAACTTCCGTCGACCTCGTGGGAGCAGGCATGCACGCATCTTCACCTACCCTACCTACCCTACCCTACCTGCCCAGTTACATATCCACGATAGTTCAATCTGCGGGCAACCGCATTCCACAGTGCACCCGTGACATTTCGCCCACCGATGCTCACTCACTCCATGCACGTAGCCTCAACAATCCGACCGCGACAGGGAGAACGGGGCAGAGCACGACCGCAGTCCGGTGATTGGACGATTTCGACATGGTTTTTTTCAAAAATCTTCGACCAATCACCGAAATTCACTCCACGGAAAATATCCTGCCGTTGCGAGAAACAAAAAACAGGAGGGGAGCGCATACCCTCCCTAGGTAGATATTTATTAGATAGAGATGAATCGACAGGCCAGCGATGAACGACGAATCGCGGTATACAACCAAGCCCCCCAAAAAGACCCGCATCCGTCCTCTTGCTTATTCCAATTAGCGCCCGCCCGTCTGGCCATGATTTTTTGCCCGTCTAGGAAGTTTTATTGGCAAAAGGGCCGGCGCCATCCCGGGTTGCAGCCGATGCACCTCTCGGGGGTGAAGTAAACACATAGATGACACCAACCAACCCACCAACCAACCAAGCCTGGGAAGGAAAGGCCCGACGGAGAAAATGAAAACAGCAACAACAACAACCACGCCCGACTGACTGTCTCTCTGCCCACGCTTGCCCGTGCCTCGCCAATCCCGAGCTGCCACGTCCCGAGGAGGGATCATCCCTCAGCACTTTTATTATTATTTATCTCATCCCGACGTGACCTGCAAGGGATTTGGTGATTCCGCGATGGGTGGAAACGTGATTTGGGAGAGATGTATGGCTGGCTGGCTGGACGCGAGTGTGACGGGAGCGCGCATGACGTGGCGTACGTGAAATAAATGTTTCATGCGTGGAGGGTGGACTCCCAACACGGAGCTCGGAATCGATCTATTGTACAATCGGCATTTCCTATCTAATAGTAGAGGACTCTTCCCCCCGAGGAGATCCCGTCCCCTTGGCTGGGACCGGGACGATCACGTCTGCTTGCCTTTGCTGCTCCTCCTCGAGGTGGAGGAAGAGGCACCGCCGCCGCCGCCGCCGCCCGATTTCCCCAGGGAAGTCGCCGCGCGGGGGCTGGTCGGGGTCGGCAGGACGCCCTCCAGGCCCGCGACGGCCGCCATGTCGATGCCCAGCCGGACCTCGCAGATGCGCATCCACAGGCCCTGCAGGGTGCGGAGCAGTTCGAAGTTGACCTCCTTGCCCATGAGGCCGACGGCCAGGGGCGCGAAGGTCTGGGCGTGGCGGGAGAAGTCGTCGCGGGAGAAGGCGGTGTAGCCCTCGAGGACGTCGATGACGACGGGCCGCCAGGTGACGATGTTGCGCTGCTGCGTGTCCTCGTCCAGCGCGATGTACGACGCGATGATGTCCGTGCAGAGCGGGATCAGCGCCGCTTCGGTCTCCGGCCGGCTGGCGGAGCGTTCGTCGCTGGTATCGGCGTACATGCGGAGGAGGATGAGGACGTAGACGCTGGCGCTCCCGCTCTCCTGCTTGAGGAGGTTGGGCGCTTGTCGCATGAAGCCTTCGCTGTAGAGGCGCGTGCGGAGCTCGCGGTCTTCGTTGAAGCGTTTGGCGAAGTGGTAGGATTTCTTGAGGAGGGCCATGAGGCGTAAGAGGAGGTGCGAGGGGATGGACTCGTAGACCGCATCGTTGCTGAACAGTTCGGATACTGTCTCGATCATGAGCAGCTGAAGCACGCATTTCGTGATGATTTGGTTGAAGTATCGGCGGCGGGCGGCAGTGACCACGACTGGAGGCCGTTGGGTGTTGGAGGCACCGCCGAAATCTTCGAGGTTGGATTGATATTGAGAGCCAATCTCGCTTTCTCCAGAGATCGATGGGGCCGCTGTCGTGTCCATCGTCGAGGATCGTGCCCGGCCGTTTCCAATGTGCTCGGCACCGTTCTCTGCACCGTCGATGGTGATCTTGAGAGCGTTGGTCGGGCTGAATGTATCCTCCTCGCCGTTTGCCGTGTTGGGTCTTTCGCCGATTCCATTCGAATATGAGCTGTCCTTGCTGTAAGAAGACGAGGTAGCTGCAGAGAACAACTCCTTGGCCTCTGTGCGATTGAACAGTTCCACAAACGATCCGACGATCTTGTCCCAATGTGCCGGGGAGAATTTGGTGACGTTTTGCAGGATGAGTTGTTGCAGACAATTGCTGCCAATGCGCGCCAAAGTGTCGTTTTCCTGGCAAATGCACAACGCTAGGAGGTCGAGGAAGCGATCAAGCATATACTCGAGGCTGTTGAAGAAATGTGTGAACAAGCTGATCATGTTTCGCAGGGCTTGTATGAGAGTAGTGGATAGCCACACGGACAGCTCTTCTTGACTGGCGGCCTCTTGGCTGATCGCTCGTCGGTCTTTCAACACCATGAATATCGGATAGAGTAGTTGCCTCCACAGCGTGTCCCAGAAGTTCCGTGGGAAGTCTCTTCCGTAACGGGTGAGCGTGTCGAAGAGGTAGTTGAGCGCACGGGAGCGGACTTCGAGGTCTTCGCCGGTCATGAGAACGTCGTGGAAGGCAAACAACACGGGGAACCAGTATTGCTCCTCCTGCGTCTGCCGCGTGGGCTGTTTCGACCCGCTTTCGTTGGGCGATGCAGCCTTCTCGGACCCACCGCTCTGTGATAGTGGACACTCCGGCGTCCGAAGCATCTTCGGCACCGACGATTTCAGCGTCTCGATGGCCTGCAGGCTCTTCTTTTGGAACTTCATGTTCTTGCTGAACTCGGTCAAGCAGACGATGAGATCCGAAAACGCGCCCTGAGAGATGACGACACCGAAGCGCTCATTGTAAACCTGCGTGACATTGTCAAAGGCGAGGTTCACGATGCCTTCATAGGGCTCCCGAGCAGCGACGGTGAAGACACCGAACATTGTCCTCCATCCCGAGCGGATCATGTTGCCACGCGCCTGGATCATTTGACTGAGACACCGCAATACAAGATCCTTGACCGGGACTGACGAGGCATTGCTCAAGATCAGCTCGAAAGGCTTCAAGAAATCTTTCTGGAATTTGAATCCCGGTAGCTCCTCGATTTCCATGAAGCGCATACTGAGCTGTCGCAAGCTGTTCAGCGCGAACGGCACCACATGCGCGTTATTGTGGCAGCCGACATCGATAAAATGCTGCCCGAGCACCTGCCAGATTGACGTCCATTCAAAACGCACCCGCAACATATTGTATCCGGAAATCTCGACAATCTTCTGCAAACTGTACGTCCGCGGCGTGTCGGACAGTCCTGATGACTGGATCTCTTGCCAGCTGACCTGTACGAGTGCCTTGACGAAATCGACAATGGCATCGCCGGAGAGGTTAGCAGTGTTGGTGAAGATCCGGTCCACGCTGCGGATCATATCTACGCCTCGCGACTCCTCGGCGATCTCTGCTTGATAAGACCCTCCACCATTGACGCGTGCTGGCGGCCGCCTTGGCAGTTGCATGTTCTTGTTCGCGCCGGGGGATTGTGCGCGCAACATATCGGGGACCGAATCCTCGTGGACACCACTGGAGATGAGTTGGAAGCGGTCGAGCTGCGATATGCATGTGAGAACATCCCGCCAGCTCTCTTTGAGCAGATTGCCCTCGGTATACGCGACATCGAGCAGGGCTCGCAGCGCCTCGACGTTTTTCGCCTTCATTTCCGACAAATTGTACAAATTGGTGTTTCTGGCAAGGCTGGAAACAAAAGCCTGTCGGGGATCTTCGAGATCGAACAGACATGCAATGCGGATAGCCATCTTCTGTCCATCCATACAGAGACGGATTGTCTCGAGATTTTGCGTCTCTTGTGCGGAGCCGGAAAGGGCAGTCAAGAAGCTCATCCATGTTGCGCTGAACATCGGTCCGACGTGCTTGAACGAACTGGCGGTCAGGAAGCGACCCTTCTCTGCCGACGTGGCGGCGGCGGACCCGCTCCGCCGTTGAGCTCGCAGCATGTTCTTGAACAGCTGCTCGGTCCGGTTGCTCATCTCCTCGCTCGCTTGTACGTACGCTTCCCTCTGGAGATCCCTGCCAACATTCGCCAGGGTGTTCACGATACCGGTGCCCTGCACCTGTGGCAGCGTTCCCATATCTGCAGCCTTCTCGCGCTCCGTGTCTAGCACGATCTCATCCTGCGCGATTTCGTCGAAAATGGCAACCAAATATTCATCGGGCAAGTTGGCATTGTCGTTGATGCCGCGGTTGTTTTTGATGAAGTCCTCGTGGGTCATCCGCTTCTTCACCTTGACGGAATGTTGATCGACGTTGAGCATGATGACACTGTAAGATAGCACATAGGCGGTGTCCGCATTTGCAAAAGCATTGGGGTTGCCTGACACATAGCGCTCCGCGAATTTCAGAACAAGTCGATCGATTTTCTGAGCCTCTCCAGGCAAGCGGAAGGCTTGCAGGAATTTCCGTAACGCGGTGACGAAGCGCGTCTTGGTGAAGTCCATGAGGTCCACAAAGGCGTGCATGATCTTGATGTTTTCCTCATCACCATCTCCGAGGAATTCTCCCAGTGCTGTTTTATCGATCCGTTCATTTGCTAACATGAATTGTGCGATATCCTTGTGGTCCGAGGATGCAATGAAGCCTTCAGCGATGAGCGTCTTGAGACCTCGTTTCGGCTTGAAATTGAACTGCCGCACAGCGTTGTTCAGGGCAGTCTTCCGGATCTTGACCTTTTGTAATTCTTCCGGATCGTCTTCGGCGCCTTGCAGGGGGGTATTTGGTGCGTGGGTGTCGGCCAGAGCGCCATTGGCGTTGTATTCGCCGCCCCGGGTATCGATGCTCTCCCGAGCGTCATCGACCGAGAACCGAGATTCGCGATCAGGGCGCATGCTTCCAGCGGTCTCCTGGGTGTTCTGTTGGCTCCAGTTCACCATACTTCGCAGAACCTCGTTGAGACACTCGAGACCTTGCATTTTCGTCGCATATTCTGCTGGATAACTCTGATCGATTTCTGCTGCCGTTGTGATATTGTTGGTCGTGAGGCTGGGAGGGAGTGTGCCTCTATCCCTCCAATCGCTCAGCGAGGAGTTCTGTTTGATTACGCTCTCGCTATATGCCTGTTGCTGAACACCATTGACCGTGACAGGCTGTCCGGCAATCCTGCTGAGATGTTCGATGATACGTTGGAACATGTTGTCAAGTGCTTGTCTGTCGCAATCGTAATTCAGATAGACTTCGACTAGAGCCTTTGAATCTGCTGCAAGTCGACCGAAGATGTGCTGGACGATGTAGCCTTTCTGCCAGGCCGGCGCAGCGCGCTTCTCCAAGATTGCCAGGTAAACCTCTTTGAGGAAGACTTCGAGTTCTCGTTTCAACTGGGACCGAAGATGCCTCAGTACCAGCCAGAAAACCTCCGACGCGACCTCGAAAACTCGGTTGGCACTGCTAGCACCGTTGCGGCTCAAACTCAGACAAAGGTATTGCTTGGTCGCCTGTATGAAGCCTGTCGGGTCTCCGTTCGACGAGCTCTTGATAGTTGCGAGTGGTGAAGTGAAGACCTCATGGTGGTTGAAAAGGACCGTATGGATGATGTGCAAGCTGAGTAGTTTCGAGCGCATTCCCTGCGACTTGATGTCTGCAGTTTCTTCCGGCCTTAATGATTTCGTGGACAGCTTACACATGGCTCTGAAGACGAGGAAAGCATCCCGGATGTAAAATTCGTCCTCCTCCTCGTCCTCATTTATTGCTTCGCTGTCCTCACCTTGAATGGTGATGGTCGGAACATCACCACTGGAAGCCGTGTGGGAATCGTGCGTGGAGCTTTTCTTGGCTCGCGATACGGTTGTCGGAGCGGCATCGGTGATTCTGGCATCGTCGAAATCGCGCTGAGTTTCGAAAGTCTGCAGCGTCATCTTAGGTTGGGGTTCCAGTTCAGCTGGGGACTCCGTTTCAGGAACTGCCGGCAGATCATCGTCTGAGATCACAATCGTCCCTCCGGGCTGCTGGTCTGCTGCGCCATTTGCCAGACTGTTCCGAGATGAGTTGACCCTCGCGGCTTTCACCGTGAGCCGAGCCTTGACCCGCTCAAAGACGGTGCTGACCATCTGGGTCAGGGTCCCTTGCGCAATCTGTTGATTTGCGCTGCTCTTGCTCATGAGGAAAATGTTGTACGTCTGCCGGACACTCTTCAACAACCCCTGCCCGTGCACCACGATCTTGTCGTTCAAGATAGCTGCCAATAAACTTTTGATGATTTGCATTTGTATCTCGACAGGCGTTGCCTCTCCCTGAAAACAGTCGCATATCGTGTCTATCGCTCTTTCGATCAAAGGTGGTCCCCGTTCAGTCACCTGATCCGTAGGCGCGGGCGCGGAGAAATATGAATAGCTGATCAGCTTGCCGATGCAGTCCAACGCAGTGACAACAACGGCGACGGTCGAGGCCTCAGTCGCCAGATTTAATGGCTCGAACAAGACCTCAGGATTGATCTGTGATGCATCCCCCTGTGCAGTTCGGATTGATGTCAAAGCTCGCTGCACTGAATCGGCCAACGGTTTCCTCTTCCTTGCATCCTTGGACGCTGCGATGGCGTCCAGCGCCGCGATCACGAAGACCAGGCTACTTCTCGCTGATCGTGCAGTGGTCCTGGTCGCATTCGTTGCGGTGGTGGACTGTGAATCTGTTCTTTGGCGCATGGTCCCGGGCACAGGGGTCGGAGGATTGGATTCGAGTCCGGTACGGGGGGTCGCGACAGAGCTTTCGACAATCGATTCATTTGTGGGTTGAGACGATGTGTCGTCTGGTCCCTGATCCGGCTCGTGAGCGTCCTCGTCCTTCTCCGCGGGTGTGTGTGGTACATCGTGTTGTTCAACCACCTCTACCTCGTGCTCTACCTCGTGCTCATCCTCTTTCTCCTCTTCTGTATGTGATTGATCGTCATCGGCGACGTGGTCGTCTGTCGTGGGCGAGTCGGACTTCTCGGCGGTATCGGACGGGGGACGATCTTCGGCCATTGCTAGTTTTGGGTGTCACAAGATGTTGGAGCGTGCAGGTGTGATTGTGACGACTGGGACATCCTAAGGTCCTCTCATGCTCACGTATGCTTCCCGGCAGCAATTTGGCGATATCGAGGTCAAGCGCGGTGCAAGTGGCAGGGAAGAGTACCGTCTGATCAGAATTATTGATGGCCGAAATGTCACAGGCTGTAAGCCGCATTTCAGGGTGCAGCAACGATCCCCTGGGGTAGGCAGCATAAATATTATTGAATGAGACGGTTCTGGCATTGGGACAGGTCATATGTGTACCAAGCGTTATGTCCCATTGTCCGGGGTACGTAATAACACGTACGCGCAACGCGGTGGCATTTCCTATTGCTCGCGACTAAGAACCCTGGAGCTCATCGTCGTCCTGGGAGCATTCCAAGGTTGTCTTCACAGACCAACCATCGACGAGGAGTATATCATCGATGAGGACATGGCGGAAATCCGAAGTGAATCTCACCAAATTTCACTACCATTCTCATGGCTTGACTTGACTTCACCACCTGCACGGTTGTCTCCATTCCTCATTTCATACGTTGATCGAACGCTGCACACCATGCATGATCGATGGTCAAAGAATCCAAGCATTGCACGCAAGGACAAAATGGAGCCCTGTGATGATGATCACCGCCGAATTGCAGACGACCTGGAAAGCCAAGGCCAAGGCCCTTTGGACAACAGTGTCGTTCCTACTTCTGGGCTCCGTTCGCACAACGATGAATGGTAAATTGAGGTTGGAGTTGTCCTTGCAGGTGTATTACAGCACCTGGTATTTAATTAAGAAGGCGACGGCCATGTTCTCGCCTGCGGGTCTCATCAACTTTGCTTCGCTACTGGGTACTCACAATGCAGGTGTTGATGAATCGTGCGGCCAACTTTCCAGACCCCCACGGTTCCTCCGCCGACCTTTCCCCATGCCATGCCATGCCATGCCATGTCGTCTTGAGATGGAGATAAGACCACAGCCATGTCCATGCAGTACATCTCCCGGCATATATTATTGATAAGTGTCAGTAATTGATGGTTTTGATGCCACAATTGACCACTGTAACTTGGGAATTTCGAAGTCGTGCTCGTCTTACATAGGTACATTTTGGGAAACATGGATGGGGTCGAAGATGGACACGGGAAAGAAAAAGAAAGAAAGAAAGAAAAAGCGCACAGTGCATGGGTTCATCGCTGCCGATTGTTATTATCATTTCACCGTGTACACTCCACTCCATACCTGGCTGGGTAGGTATACAGTAATAATGATAATAATAATATGTAACTTAATAAAAGGAACGAGCACTATTACTGTAGGGCAATGGACGACGGGCCGTAGGGAACATTCCAAGGTTCTCTTGGGGCCATTGATGGCGATTGCACTACAGAACGGTAGAATCCAAAGAATATACTGGAGTGGAAGAATACTTGTATACTGGAGTATTCCAAGGTTATTATTACCACAGCATTAGCGCAGGTGCCCAGCGTTTCTCCCTCTCTCTCCAGCCCTGGAGGGTTCGGGGCTCTCTCATCGTCCATCATCGTAGAAACGGGCCGATGATGAGGTATTCGCTTGGGCCGTGAGCGCGCGGGCGGGCGGGTTCTGATGGAACGAACATGCGAAAGAAGCTCGAGCTTCTCTCAACCAACACCCGCTGCTGCACACGGGAACTGTACTGTGCTGTACCACCATTGTCGTCACCCTGTGCACTCCTCTCGCCTGTGCATGATCGTGAGCCACAAATCAAAACACTTTTAGACTTCTTTTCCAGACTCTTTGCCTCTCTGTCATTCCCACCGCTCTTCGGCCGTTCATCTGCTGTTTCCTGCTCGTCTTGCGGTGCGATCCTCGCCCGTCCATTCCGCCTCAACCTCACCACCAACCACATCTTACTTGAGCCTCACCGTGCCAATTGTGACGAGCATATCCTGCCTCACAAACTCACCTCAACAGCACCTTCCGCCATGTCGGCCTCGGTTTTGGCTCGCGCCTCGCGAGGGGTCTGCTCACGAAATGCGTGGTCTGCTGTTCGAGCACAAGATGCCACATCGTGAGTACTTCAGAGCGCCAGGCGCCGCCTCCCATGCGCACTGTCAATGCGTGGTTGTCCTTTGCTAACACGACGGTCTCAAAGGCGCCGGATACCTGCCGTCTCGGCACTGGCTCGATACTATGCCTCCAAATGTACGGTTTACACATGCGTGTCGCAATCCGGAAACGAGACACTGATCCTTGAGCAGCATATCCTCCACACACCATCATCTCCATGCCTGCGCTCTCACCCACGATGACTGCAGGTAACATCGGCACATGGCAGAAGAAGCCGGGCGACACACTCGCGCCAGGCGACGTCTTGGTCGAGATTGAGACCGATAAAGCACAGATGGACTTTGAGTTCCAAGAGGAGGGCGTTCTGGCGAAGATTCTGAAAGACTCCGGAGCGAAGGACGTCGCAGTGGGCAACGTAAGTGGCATACCTATGATCGAGATTATCACGAATCGAATGGTGAGGCTGATGAGCTCTACAGCCTATCGCTGTGTTGGTTGAGGAGGGCGGCGATGTTTCCGCGTTCGAGTCATTCAGCGTCGAGGATGCTGGAGGCGAGAAGGCTCCGCCTGCGGAGGAGAAGAAGGCAGGCCAGGAAGATTCAATGGCGTCCGAACCGCCAGAGACTGGTTCAAAGACTGCGCCTGCACCAAATGAAGAAAAGAGCGAGGGATCTTCCAGCCCGAAGCAGCCCGAGTCCACCGGCGAACGACTACAGACATCACTGGAACGTGAGCCCTCCATCTCGCCAGCAGCTAAGAAGTTCGCCCTGGAGAAGGGTGTTCCGATCGCCAAGGTCAAGGGCACTGGTCCTGGCGGTCAAATCACCAAGAAGGACATTGAGAAGTTCCAACCGACCGGCGGCGCGACCGCTTCAGCTCCTGCGGCAGCGGGCGCCCCTGCGTACGAAGACATTGAGGCTTCCAGCATGCGCAAGACCATCGCCTCCCGCCTCACTTCGTCCATGCAGCAGAACCCTCACTACTTCGTTGCCTCGTCCATCTCCGTCTCCAAGCTCTTGAAATTGCGTGCCGCTCTCAACGCCTCTGCGGATGGAAAGTACAAATTGTCCGTCAACGACTTCCTCGTCAAGGCCCTCGCCGCCGCTGCGCGTCGCGTGCCCGCCGCCAACAGCTCATGGCGCGAGATCGACGGCAAAGTCGTCATACGTCAGCACAACACCGTGGACGTCTCCGTCGCCGTCGCCACCCCCATCGGCCTCATGACCCCGATCGTCCGCAACGTCACCGGCACCGGCCTCGAGGCCATCTCCTCCCAGATCAAGGACCTGGGCAAGCGCGCCCGGGACGGGAAGCTCAAGCCCGAGGAATACCAGGGCGGCACCATCACCATCTCCAACATGGGCATGAACGACGCCATCGACCGCTTCACCGCCGTCATCAACCCTCCCCAGGCGACCATCATCGCCGTCGGCGCCGTCAAGAAGGTCGCCATCCCCCGGGAGAACGAGGACGGAAGCGACGGGTTCGAATGGGACGAGCAGATCGTCATCACGGGCTCCTTCGACCACAAGGTCGTCGACGGCGCCGTCGGCGGCGAGTTCATGCGCGAGCTGAAGAAGGTCATCGAGAACCCGCTCGAGTTCGTGCTGTAGAGGGGTCCCAAGGGGGACCATCGGGAACGCAGAACATGGAGAGAAACGGGACTTCTGAAACGGGGCCCATCTGCGACCTGCTGCCCTCGACTTTCTTTCTCTCTCTCCCTCTCAGGCGTTTTGTGTTCTGTACAGGCATCTCATGGCGTCCCCGGGAGCAAATCTTGTAGCTTTTTTTTTGTTTCGCTGGGAGTCGCTTTTTTGTTCTTTGCGCGGCGATAATGCGGACACTTTTTTCCCCCGGACCTCCTTTCTTTCCCATCTACGTGAAACTGTCTTGCACACCCATCCCGAAAAAGGGGGAAGCGGGGAGAAAATGAAAAAAGACAAGGTCTCTAGTTTCCTCACTGGGAAAAGAAAATGACACACAACCAACACCGATCTTGACGAACGACATGCGACTCGTCGTATCCGCCCATATCTGATTTCTTTCCTTGCCGTGTACAAGCCTGCCTGCCTGCCTGCCTGCCTGCCTGTCTCTCCCTCAGACCTCTCTGCTCTGTTTCTGCAAGTCCGTACTATAGTATACAGATCCATCCGATCGAAATCGACACCTTCGCGGCTGCGGTTCCCGCGGACGGGCCAGGCACACACACTCCGTGCATCTACAAATTTCCCCCCGGACCTATTATCCATCCCGAGATTCCCCCCAAGACAAAATTCCGAAGACAGAAACAAAACTCCGTCCTCGACCCCCGTCCCGTCCACGTGTTCCCCTGGGGATATATCCCATCGCCCCATCACATCCCATCGGTAGCAAGGACCCAAAGGGAGAAAAGGGGGGGGGGGGGGGGGGGGGGGGGGGAGAACTTCCGCAAAGTTTGGATACCCCAGGTCGAGAATGTGACGTCGCCGGCTCAGAAGTCCTCGTCGCTGCTCCACCCCCCTCCTCGCCTTCGGCTCCGATGGCGGCTCCTCTGCCGGCTTTTCCTGCGCCGCCGTGCGACCGAGGACGTCTCGTCGTTGAACCGCACGCTCCTCTCCCGTCGCAGAGGGGGGTGTTGCATGTCTGGTCCGGGAGGAGGGTCGGGGTCGCGCGGTGCGGGCGTCGTCGTCGTCGTCCGTCTCCGGCCGCTTGCTCGGTGGTCTCCTTCTTCGTTCCACCGGGGCTGGGATCGATGACGATTGTGATGGAGGCTGCTGCTCCGCGGGCGTGGTTGTCGGGCGTCGTCTGCTGCTTCGCGGTCATGATCCCGGTGGTCCCGATCGCGATCGTTTCCACGCTGATGGTGGTGTGAAGAAGAAGAATGATGATGATGATGATGGCGACTGCCCTCCCCCTCCCCCTCCCTCTCCCTTTCCCCATATCGTCCTTCGCCACCCCTTTCACCGCGGAAATGCCGGCTGCCGGAAGAAGAAAGATGATGATGGTGATGCTCCTTCTCCCTCATTTCCAGCTTCGACCTCCGATGGCTTAGGAATTTCTCCGCGCTCCAGCCCGCGACCGTGCCCACGAACATCGCGCCCAGCGTCGTGATGAGGTCCTCGCCGCCGAGCTCGTGCCCGAGGAGCGCGCCGCTGGCCCCGCCGAGCATCGCGCCGTGGTGCCCGCGGTCGCCGGAGGACGTCCCGCCGAGATAGTCGCGTCCGTGGCCGTGGCCGTGGCCGTTGCTGCTGCCGCTGTCCCGGCGCAGGTGTCGGTGGGAGCGCCGGGCGCGGGGTTGGTCTTCGTCCCGGGAGGGGTCTTTTAGATTGCGCGAGGATCGATGGTGGCGGGGCCGTTCGCGGGAGGAGGAGGAGGACCGGCTGCTGAGGGAGGAGGAGGAGGAGGAGCGGCGGGCTCGACGGTCGTATCTTTGTTGATGGATGTGACCTGATCTCATGTGGCTTTGGTCTCGGTAGGGGTCGGGGATATTGTTGCTGTGGTTCGGGACCGAGTAAGCGGGATTGTCGTAGCGGCCATCGTAGGCGTATCGATATGTGAACTCCGGTGGTACCTGTTGGTGGAAGTTCTGTGGAGGCGGAGGCGGCGGTGGAGGAGGAGGAGGAGGTGGATAGGAATAGGGGTGGTAATGGGCATATGCCGCGTTCCGCTGGTCGTAGGATGGTTGCCGCGGTAGTGAAGCTCCTGCATCTGTCCGCGCTGCAAACGATGCTGTCCGGTCCATGCGATTTGGCGGTGGTGGGTTGGGCACACTGGCTCGGGCGCGGCCTTGGTTCGGGGCAGATGGCATTGGCGAGTTGCGGAAATTCTGTCCGCCATGTTCGGCGTAGAGGGGTTGCGGCGGAGATGGAGCTTGATATGAACCTGCATATGTTTGTGCTCGTTCTCCATATGCTTCTGTTGTTGGAGGAGGATCAAAATGAGGCGTCCTCGGCGATAGACTCGGACTGCCGTTCTTGGGACCGGATCCTGTCCGAGAAAGGTCGGGAGTTACGGGATAAGGCGTCTGGCGGTTGGAAGGATGGCCGCCATTGTCTGTCATCTTAACTTGCCGGTTATGTCATCTTGCGTTCGAATAGGAAACTCGATTGGAAATTATGCGAGGATATGATACTCTCTACAAACAAAGACGAACAAGATGCTTATTTTGCCGCGGATTGGTGGACGACAGATCGTGAATACGTGGAAATGAAATGAATGAGAACCACGACACAGCCACGGGACTCATGGCTCCGGACGGTTGGATCGTCTATCAGTACCCAGATGCCGGTGCGAAGGTGGTTGCGCACCGCGGTTGACAGTGATAATGTGACGTATCGTGGTCATCTCATGTGCCGTGCATCATGCGAAGGCGCGAGAAAGTCCCCTTGTACTTGGACAGTATCATCCCTGCGGATTGATGGCAAACCTATGCTGGCTGCATATACTCGGGGAGAGCTGTCTTCCCCGCCACCGGCAAGATGCAGAGAGATATGCACGAGACGGGCAGAAAGAGGCCGCCTTAAAAAAAAACCTTGCATACGTTAACTGACACTAGGCAATTAAATCGACATGGTCTCTGGAATGTGGTTCTTCAGGCGTGAGCGGGGATCATCCGATCAAACGGCCGGTTTCCGCCGGGCGGGAATGCGACCTGAGGAGTGGTGGCGGTGGTGAAATGTGTGGTGGTCAGACGCGGGAGCAGGCGTCGGCGACGAAGTCATCAACGGCTCGCAAGACGACGATGTTGGAAATGCGCAGAACCCACTTGTTCTCACTCACCAGGCATCTCTTCTTCAGAGACACGACAGCCCGATCGTGGAAACGGCAACATCGAGGATCCCTCCGCTCGGATAGTGGAGAGCGGTGAAACGAAACCTCACCGGTCTGGGTAACAAGCAAAAAAGTATACCACTATACGTACATGGCGTACACGGCAGATGACATTGTGCTCTTCCTTCGAGAGAGCGACAAATCCCGGGCAGAAGGACCAGCACATCGTACTTCCCGCCTACAGACGCACGCATTGATATCCCGACTCTACTGCATAAACGCCTCCTCCGGCGGCGAGAAGTGTGAAGCGAGGTTCGACCATCCTCGGGCGTTGGAGTAACGAACTCGGATTATGTTGTCTCTTCAATCCAATGGGCTGGTTTGTACAAATTACCTCTGAGCGTGCTATATCATGCGAGGTAGGAAAATCTGAATGGCTGAAAGGAAGCAGTTTTACGTGTATATCATGTCATCCCCCCCCATAGCTAGTACCGAACTATTCCATTAATAAAATCCCCTCGACCTCCCAGCTTTGTCTCTCGACTCCCGGCAAGGACACTTCCAACCGCCAGCGTTCGCCCATCATCTACGCAACATCGAATTTCGGCTTCAGGAACTTCGCAATCAGCTTCCACTCGTCCTTCTCCACCTCATCCATGTAGAACTCCTTCAGCGTGTCGATGCTCTTTCGCGAGATCTGCGAGTAGAGATCGTCCTTCTCTTCGAGCTGGCGTCCGTACATGGGCTGGTTCGCGCCTTCGATCTTGATCGCGACGGAGGGTGTTCCCTTCTTGCAGTTGGGTAACTGCTTGTGGTCGCGTTCGATTGAAGTCACACGGCCGAGACTGACGATCTCCTTGGCTTTGGTGACGGGGTTCTCCTTGACGGCGGCGATGGGCGTGTTGATGCGGAGGTTTCCTTCGACGACGTCGACACCGATGACGATCGGGTCTTTCTTGTTGAAGACAGCTACGGTCCGGAGCACGCAAGGGAAGACTGCAAGCATCTTGCTTTCTTCCTTCTTCTGCTCCTTGAGGGCTGCCATGTGTTGCGTGAAGTTATCGAACAGGTGATAGATAATCTCGGCGGTGAAGATCTTGACGCCCATCTGGTCGGCAAGCTCGTGGGCATCCTTGTCGACTTTGACGTCGAAACAGAGCATGACCGCGTATTCCTTGCTCTTCTCCAGCATGGTCGAAGCGGTGATGACGTCGCGCTTGTGGACGGGACCGATCGAAATGTTGGCGACGGGGATTTTCGATACGCGCAAGAACTCGAGCAACGCTTCGAGCGAACCAAGAGTCGAAGCTTGAACCGTGACACCACGACCGCTCTTGGAGATACGGCTCATGAGGTTTTCGAGATCGCCCATGACATCCTCTTCCAATTCCTCAATCTCATCCTCGTCGTCCTTGTCCTTGACGACGAGCAATCGAGAACCAGCAATAGCCGTGTCGAGGCCGTTGGCGGCAATCTTGACACCCAACGCAGCCTTGACAGTCTTGTTGTGGACATATTGAGATTTCACACGCAACTCCTTCATCTCAGCCGGAGTTAATAGCGCTCGAATATCCGTCGTGATGGCTCCTTCAGTACCACATAGCACGACTCGGTCGCCCTCATTCAGAATACCGTTGGAAAGGATAACGTCAATGGTGGTACCAAGACCTTCAATGACCTTGACTTCCAATACAGTACACTCGACCTCAGACAAGTACATGAGCTGGTTAGTCATGCGTTCTTGGGTCAAAGTAACCAAAAGCTTGAGCATGTCGGGGATACCCTCTCCGGTATGAGCAGATGTCGGCACCAAGGACACATATTTCGCCATCGATTTGTTCTCGTAGAACAGCTCAGAGTTGAAACCCTGCTCTGCAAATGCAAGCTTGGTCTTCTCCAACCGGTCTCGGAACTCGTTCTGGACGGCGCGGTTCTGTTGGTTCAAAGAGTCTCGGAAACCGTTGTTGGCGATCGCCTTCCAGCCGTAGAGTCGATCGATCTTGTTCAGTGCAACGATGAAGGGCGTCTTGCGGTCTCGGAGTAACTTCATCGATTCTAGAGTCTGAGGCTCCAGACCGTGCATGATATCGACGACCAAAATGGCAATGTTACACAGTCCACTACCACGTGATCGCAGATTGGTGAAAGACTCGTGACCGGGGGTGTCAATGACCAATAGACCAGGGACCTTGAACTCGAAAGCCCCATCCTGGTTGACGACCGCAGTCTTCTTCTGTAGCGCATCGACGGGGAAATATGTGGCACCGATCTGCTGGGTAATTCCTCCGGCTTCGCCTTCCTGCACGTTGGTTTGTCGAATCTTGTCCAGCAGCTTCGTCTTACCAGTATCGACATGACCGAGAATACAGCAAATAGGTGATCGTAGATTGTCCTTCGAGGCTGCAGCGCGGGCAGCTTCGGTCTCGGCCTTTCTCTTGTCGGCTGCGAGCTGTCGGCGCTGTGCCGCCTGTCTCTGTGCCACGGTCTGTTCTTCTTCCGAGGATTCATCGTCTGAGTCGTCCTCGGAATCATCCTCTTCATCAGAGTCCTCATCCTTCGCCGCCGCTTTCCCATTCGTTGACTTAGCTGCGGGCTTCTTTGCGTCTTGGTCCTCCGCGCCAGATTCGACATCCCAGCTGTCTTTGACGTCTTCGTCCTCCTTCTCGGCCATGGCCTCCCAGTCTTCGAGCTCGTCTTCCTCATCAGGTTGCGCTTGCTTCGCAAGCTCCTGGGCTTCTGCTTCGGCCTTGGCTTTTCGTGCTTCTTCCTCTTCGCGTAGCTTCAGTTCCTCGAGCTTCTTCCGAGCTTCTTCCTCTTCCCGCGCCTGCTGAGCCTTGCGCTCCTCAGCCTCCTTGCGGGGATTCTTCTTGCGCTGGTCCTTGATCGAAGGTTTCTTCACTTCGACATCGCCTTCGATACCAGCAACCTTGGCACCCGACTCAAGCATCTGTTGCAAGCGCAACTTCTGCTGAGCCTCATCCCTGCGTTGCTTCTCGGTCTTGTATGTGCCCTCCCGCTTCATCTGCTCCACTTTGGCCTTTTCCTTGGCTTTCTTCGCAGCTTTAGCCTCTTCCCGCTTCTTTTCTTCCTCCTCTTCTCGCTTTCGTTCTTCCTCTTCTAGATTTGCCAATCTCTCCTTCTCGAGTCTCTCCTCTTCCTGCCGCTTTCGCAGCTCTTCCTGCTGTTTCTGGAGGAGCGCAAGCGCTGGGCTCAATTTCTTCTTCTTTCCACCTGGCGCAGCTAGAGAGTCTGCGGCCGGGGCAGCGGCGACTTCTTCCACAACCTTGGCCTCCTCCTTCTTGGCTGGAGCCGGAGTTGCCTTCTTCTTTGCGGCCGCCTGTTCCTTTTTCCGCTGCTTCTCACGCTCTTTCTTCTCCTTCTCCTTTTCGGCCTTGGTCTTCACACGGCCACCAGTGGCGCCATCGTCTTCCTCGCCATCATCGTCGTCGGCAGGAGCAGCAGCGCCTTTCTTAGCCTGGTTCTGGCCTCCTTTGCCACCTTTCTTGCCCTTCACCGGTTGACCGAAAACGTCCTCGTCATCCATGTTGGCCTCGACAGGGGCCTTCGCGGCGAGATCCACCGCTGGGGTTGCGGCTGGCGCATCTTCCGAAGGGTCTTCGCCCTCCGGTCCATCGTCGTCTACGATTTTGCCCTTCTTTTTACGCTTTTCTTTGTTCCGCTTCAGCATCGCCATGAAGCCGCCTCCACCGGCGGCATCTTCGTCGTTGGCATCGTTCGACGCCTCGGCATCCTGGGTCTGGTTGGCGACAGGTTCGGCTGTCTCGCCGAGACCCTCGTCCCAGTCGTCACCGCCCTTCTTCTTGTTCTTGCCTTTGGGTGCCATTTTGACGGGTTTATGGTTCTCTTGGAACGGTTCGTAGTGTAGTTGTATTTTCGTGGTATTAAACTCCAATCAGCTTTCTGGCCGATAGAATGTTTGATACGTTCCTCCAGTAGACTCGGGAGGCGGATCAGGGTTTAGTGAAGAGACTCGGGCTCTCATACTACGAAGAAAGAGAGACCACGGAAAGGCGTGCGCAGGCACTCTAGACGATACAAGGTGGTGCTGAGAAGTTCCGCAGCTCACGAGGGATGATACGACACATAAGCCGTGTCGATCAGTAGTGCCCAGGCGGTTGTCCGTTCTGGTGGCGTTGATAAATCTTTGTTTCCCCCAAAGTGGGCGTTGGATTTTCGATGGTGGGACGTCGCGGGGCAGCCGCTCAATTCCAGCCCTGCTCCAGAGCGATGACTCCTGTCGCATTTGGTAGGCTATGCATGACGCAGCCAGACCACTGCAGCCCTTTGCGACGAGCATTTCCCATATGCAAATGGTGACGCGGTGCTGTATATTCCTTCCTAGGAGTCATTCGAAATGGCAAATAATTAGAGATTGACCCGAATTGTTACCTTCAATATGCCCACGCTATTCTCGGGAATGCAGTGTTTCGCGAGTCTCAGTTGAACTTTGGATTCGAATGTGCCAGCATCAGGCGTTAATTATGACAGCTATTCTACATCGTCAATAACATGAGGAGTGCGCCTGGTTCCAGTCGCAGCTACAATCTTCAGATCATAGGGGCAAGGCCACCGTCAACCCGCCGGGCCTACGCTGCAGGACTGCCGTGAGCAAAGAAGAGGATCTTGATCGCAATTGCTAAGCCCGCATGCAGTGCAATGACAACAACGAGCAAAATGCGAGATGTCTTCGCATCCGTCGCAGAAACAACAGGAAAGCTGTGACAACGTCAGTCGTTTCCCGGAGATAGACACGTCCTGAACTTACAGGTTGCGGAATAAAAATACTGCGGACACTCCGAAGCCAACGGCGACAAAGGCATAATTGAGTGCTTGCGTCTTGGTCAGCGTTGCAATTTTCAAACAGAGTCATTACGACATACCTGTCAATTGTGACCAGCTCACTAAAGCCACGGGTATCCAGATCAGATTCGCGTATCCGTATAGTGCCCAGCATTCGAGAACGTTGGCGCTTTCGCTACCAAACCATTTCAACACTGCCCACAATCCCAGAGGGATAAAAAGTGTATAGCCGTAGATCAAACCCGCAGCTCCGCTGAGAAGTTTGAAGTCATATGCGAAGTGATCTTTTCCGCTGTGCGCCAGATAGCTGCTGATGGTGCCCGTGAGGAAGAGGATGACAACGACGGTCGTGGCGATCCAGAATGGCCCGTACAGGTCCGGGTTGCCTTCCATGACATCCAGGAAGTTCTGCTTCGGGAACAGCGCAGCCCGACATCTTAACAGGATCTGGTCGGTATCGACATCGAAGAATTGTTGGTAGAACGACAGCGTCCATAGGAAGCGTTTCGATGAACCCGTCTGTCTACCAGGGGCGCTGAAGAAAGATGCTGATTGATCGGGTTGGATCTTGGCGCGAGCGCCCGAAGCATTTTGATCGAAGGCTTTGAACGACTCATGAGTATCTCTTCCGGCGCTCTTTCGTGGACTCGCGACACGTACTGGAATTGTGGAATTCTAGATCATCGTTGAGATCTGTGTGTCCGAGATCTCCCTGCGAGCTCCATGTTAGTGCCTGGCCTCGAGCGAATCATCGCTGCGCCTACCTCTGCATCCACGTCCACGACAACATCATAGCCTTGTCGACCTGCCATCTTGGATATATGTTCGGATTGGAAAGCTATACAAGACGCGCCTTCGATAATCTCAATGCTCTCCGCTTTCCCGAGCGCGATTGTCGAGGCCAACTTACTACGGAGAACGACAGGGACGATGTGAGAGGTTCGTCACTTTCAGCGGCTGCAATGACCGCACGAATGCGCATCAGTGATCGATATTCTACTATGGGCTCATGAAAGCTATGTAAGTTCCAAGATTCCGAAGTCTGTGTGTGAAACAAGATTTAAAGTGGAATATGTCCTTGGAGAAGCATCATCAATGTTATGCCTCTCTCTGCAATACATGCACATGCACATGCCCGTGTCGATCCATTACTGGTCTCCACCCACGCCTCGAGTTCGCCAAGGATATTTTATAGCCCGACCCGGGCGGACATTTTCAGAGGATGACGCAGGCAGGCAGCAAGCCCCCAATCAAGCAGCGCCCAAATCCAATATAACGAAAAGACCTTGTTTTATGAGGGACTGTTCGCCGGCCGGAGCCAAATTCTGTACCCATCACATAGAGGAAATTTACGATCTTTGCGGCCGACTCTCTGTGTGTCTGACTCCTAAAGAGAAGCTGTGCATCGCTTCGCTTCCATAATTGATACCTCTGAATTGAGATACCGCGCCTGTGCGACGAAACGCTTTCCAAAGCACGTGCCCGTCTATTAAGAACAAGCCGCGGACATAAGAACATACAGAGCACGCCCATACGCAACTGCCCACCTACTCTGTCATTCTGATCTTCCGGAATTGCGACGACTCGCGGACCGACGGCACTTTGAGCACTGCTGTTCGCGTAGATTAGGCCAACGGGCGCACGGCGCGAGCAAGATTGCGCAACATGTCAAAGTCCAAGCAGGGCGTGCAGTTCAAGCACCGGGAACGGCGCCTGAGTAAGAGTAGCATGTCGGACGCCAACTACGACTCGCCCAATGAGAACCGGAGCCCGACACGGTTCAATGGTGCAAAGAACAAAAGTCCTGCGCGGTCGAGCAACGGAACTTCACAAGAGGCGATCAAGGAGGAAGAGCGACCTGGTATTCAGAGGACCGATACCAGTATGAGCGGCTGGGCTACGGACAACGAAGACGAGAAGGTAAGTGTCTGACACCGTCGCTTTGGCTGACAGGGAATCGATGTTGATTGACTTCGAAACGCAGCCTCAGGAGAAGCAATTGTCCGACTTTGAGAAGAAAAAGCAAACCTTCATCACGCGAACTCTGTGGACATTCGTGATGATCGGTATCTTCTTCGGATCCATGTTCGCCGGCCACATCTACATTATCATCATCGTCACAGCCGTCCAGATCATCTCATTCAAGGAAGTCATTGCGATCTCCAATGTTCCTAGCCGCGCCCGGAGCTTGCGCTTCACGAAAACTCTGAATTGGTATTTCCTCGGGACGACCATGTACTTCCTCTACGGCGAGAGCGTCATCTACTACTTCAAGCACATTGTGCTTATCGACCGCGTTCTGCTTCCCTTTGCCACTCACCACCGATTCATAAGCTTCATGCTCTACATAATGGGTATGTCACTCGTGGCAAGAGCTGTCCAGATCGCGGAGCGCGATGGAAATCCCATGTCGGTCAACTAACGTTTCGACAGGGTTCGTGTTCTTCGTCGGATCGCTCCAGAAAGGCCACTACAGATTCCAATTCACACAGTTCGCCTGGACGCACATGGCGCTTTACCTGATCGTGGTACAGGCGCATTTCATCATGAACAACATCTTCGAAGGCATGATCTGGTTCTTCCTGCCCGTCATGCTGGTCATCACCAACGACATCTTCGCCTACATCTGTGGGATCACCTTCGGCCGCACGCAGCTCATCAAGCTCTCGCCGAAGAAGACCGTCGAGGGCTTCGTCGGCGCCTGGATCTGCACCATCCTGTTCGGGTTCCTCTTCACCAACCTCCTGATGCGCAGCAAGTACTTCATCTGCCCGGTCAACGACCTCGGGGCGAACATCTTCACCGGCCTCCAATGCGAGCCCAACCCGGTCTTCATCCCGCACACCTACCGCCTGCAATCCTACCTGCCCCACTACTTCGTCACGAAGCTCACCTTCACCGTGACGCCGATGCAGTTCCACATCCTGGCCATGTCGACCTTCGCGTCGCTGATCGCGCCCTTCGGCGGCTTCTTCGCATCGGGGCTCAAGCGGACGTTCAACATCAAGGACTTCGGCGACAGCATCCCCGGCCACGGCGGCATGACGGACCGCATGGACTGCCAGTTCATCATGGGCTTCTTCGCCTTCATGTACTACCAGTCCTTCATCGCCGTCTACAAGGCCAGCGTCGGCAGCGTCATCGAGGCCGCCATCACGGGCCTCACCCCGGAGCAGCAGATCGACGTCGTCAAGGGCCTGACCAAACACCTCTACAACCAGGGCGTCGTGGGCTCGCGCGTCGTCGAGTACCTCGCCGCCAGCCTGGTGCCCCAGCCGACGTCGCTGACGTGATGGGGACCGGGCCGACCACCCGACCGCCGCTTTCTGTTATCGTGTTTATTCCCCCCTCCCTCCTCTTGTTGTGCAATGCAATCCGATGCGACGCCTCTCCCACCCTCCCGATCTTGGTTTTGAAGCCAGAGAAATCAGAATATCCATGGCACAGGCTCCTTTTTTACCTAGAAAACCGCAATGCAGTTTCTCTTGATCTCTGAATCCAATCCGATCACTCACGTATGTGCAATTTAATGAACCCCGTACGTGAATCCCCACGCGGTGGGTGATGATCAGGGAAGTCTCTATGTAAACTACCAGGCACCCCGCAACGGCATCACGTTCAGTCCATGAGAATTAGGGTTTCGCGGACAGGAAAAATCACATTGTCCGCGATGACCGCGCACGAAGATGAAACGACTCTGTAATGCACCGCTTTTCTTTTCTTTTCTTTTCTTTTTCATGCTAATGTACAATCGTGCCCCGGCCACGGTGGTCTCTGCTTTCCATCTCGTAACAACCCGCTGGGTGGTGCATTTATTAGACTGCAAGAGTAACGGGAAACGCGGACACTCCTCCCCCAGGACCTCGGATCACCAGTTTCCTCGGTGGGGGATCCATGGCCTGTCGTTCTCCCTCCGCCAGCATGGAGATGGTCTTTCGAGTTCGAGCAGGGTCTGATGGCCGTGCTGAACGACAGCGAGTCGCTTGTAGTTCATTCACCGTGTGGTCCGGATCACAGGCGAAGTCGATCCCATGTTGCGTGTGTTTTTTTCGATGGGGAATTTGCTCGACACCGCCGGATCAGACATCGGAAC